GCTCAATGCCTTTTGAGACAGGCCAGACTGTGAAGGGGGTAGTAATTGCAATCGCAGGTCACAACCTGCGGTCGCATTCACTTGGAGGTTTCACTGAGAATTTCAGCAAGAGCAAAAACTTCTGTAGATACTGCATTATAGCAAGGGACAAATTTGAAAACGAACCTACTAAGCTAGGCCCAGCAAGGACAGAGGAATCCTACAAAAACAGAGTGGCAAAGTTGTCTATGGGATCTAAAAACTGTGTAGATGGAGTAAAAAAAGACTCATTACAAATCATTTTCAAATCATTACAGCTTTTCTATGTATGCCTACCAGGACTTCCTCCATGTATTGGTCATGATCTTTTTGAAGGAATTGTATCTGTGGATCTTCAACTGTATCTTAAACATCTTGTGGCCATTGGGAAGCACTTCACATTTGTGCAGATAAATAGGATGGTCTCTCAAATAAAGTTCAAAGGAAGTTATGCTGATAACCAGTCTTGTGTGATTAGAGCTGATGGAGAGAAATTGGGAGGAAGTGCAGCACAGAACTGGTGCTTGTTACGTCTTCTCCCTATCCTTGTTGGTAAACATATCAAGAATCCACTTGAAGACCAAATTTGGCAGTTGTGCCTCAAGCTGACGGAGATACTAGAATATGTCTGTGCTCCCACAATCCATACCAATCAGGTAGCCTATCTGAAGCTACTTGTGGAATATTTGGAGTCTAGAGCAGCTATTTTTTTCAGACCGACCATTAAAGTAAAAACACCACTTCCTCCTCCACTATCCAGACCTTATAATTCAATTTAGCCCTCTCATTCGCCTCTGGCCTTTGGAAGGTAAGCACACATATTTTAAGTAGTGTGCACGGAAGCTCCACAATTTCAAGAACCTATGTAGCACTTTGGCAGAAAGGGACCAATTACTTCAGGCCTATTTACACTCAGGGAGCTTTTTTCCAGCCATTCATCAAGTAGGCCAAGCCAATGAATTTGATGATCAAATGTACAATAGTGCCATTCAAGAAGCTGTTAGACTAAGTGGTATTAAGAAACAAAATACCGTAAAAACAGTTTCTGACACATACAAGGGAACTACCTACAGGAAAGGAATAGCTGTACTTCTCAATGTTAATGACAGGGGCCATGAGCTTGGTAGGATTGTTGTTCTTCTGGTCAGTAAGGAGAAGGTTTATTTGTTTGCAAAACGTCTCAATCAGTGCCAGCCTTGGATCTTGGTGTTCACATCTTGCAACATGACACAGACACATTAAGTTTGTGTTAGTATGGACACCCTTTCTACAACACTTGTCAAGCATTGGGATAACTACAGCTGATGAAATGAAATTAGGGATTGGGATTAGGGATTGCCGCTGTAGTCGCGGATCAAAGAACCACTCTTCCATTCCGATTCCCATAACAAATCGATTTGCCCCAATCAGTGAAACACCCACTGAGAATCCTGTTGATTGTGCCCTGCTAATTGGTGATTCGATCACACGGAACTTGAAAATCGAGACACCAGCAATCATAGTCACATGTTTGCCGGGAGCCAGAGCGCCTGACATCACAGCAAATTTAAAAGTGCTGGCTAATGCTAATCGTAAATTTTCTAAGATCATTATTCATGTTGGCACTAATGATGTTCGACTTCGCCAGTCGGATGAATATTAAAGAGGTGTGTGAACTCGAAAGTACGATGTCAGGCACTGTAATTTGCTCAGGCCCCCTTCCTGTTCACAGGCTTGATGAGATAGTTAGTAGACTGTCCTCACTTAATCTTTGGTTGTCTGAGTGGTGTCCACAAAATAATATAGAATTCATAGACAATTGGAGAAGTTTTTTGGCCAGTTGAAAAGAGATAGTATTCATCCCTCCTGGGCTGGTGCTGCTCTTCTCTCTAGGCTCATAGTCTTAGAGCTAAAACATGACAAATTTGGCACCATGTCAGGAAGCAGACAGACTGGCTAAACCGACCGTCTGCTAGCGGCCTCACATCACTAAGGTCAGATAAATCCCATCACATAGAGCCTCTTTCATCTAAATCTAGTATCTGTAAAACCACATTTTTCCATCTTAAAAATAAATCTAAATAACACCATATGCTCTCATTGACAAATGCAGAACAATTAGTTAATGCGTTCATGACATATAAACTAGATTATTGAAATGCTCTACTGGGTGGCTGCCCTGCACGCTTAATAAACAAACTTCAGCTAGTTCAAAACGCAGCAGCTCGAGTTCTTACTAGAACCAGGAAGTTTGACCATATTAGCCCGGTTCTGTCAACACTGCATTGGCTGTCTATTAAACATCATATACATTTTAAAATATTGCTGATTACTTACAAAGCACTAAATGGTTTAGCTCCCCAGTACTCGAGCGAGCTCTTACCGCATTATAGTCCTTCACGACTATTTGCGATCTCGGAATTCCAGCCAGTTGATAATATATCAAAATCGACTGCAGGCGGTAGATCCTTTTCTTATTTAGCACCAAAACTATGGAACAAACTCTCTGCTCCTCGTCATGGTGCGTCTCAGTTGATGCGGTTATCACCCCGGCCAAGTAGCAGTGCTTTGCCTTCAGAAAATATAGTTCCCAGTATTTATATGGTTAAAAGATGTCTGTCTCACGTGACCTTGTTTTTTGTACACTCTGTGACTATACAAATCACAACATGTAAATAGGAAAATGTTTGTATTATTTTGTCACTTAGTTGGATTAGTATGCTAGCTGCAACCATTTACATCCAGTCTTTGTGCTAAGCTAGGCTAGCGGTGGGTGCGTCAAACAGACTTATAGCACGCACGGAGATGAAAAAGGTATGTATGGACTTATCTAACTCTGGGGGATAAGGTGAACAGGCTAAAGTCCCAAAAAGTCAGAGTGTTCCTTTGAGGGATAGTTCACTTTGAAATTAATTTTTGTTATGTTTAGGCTTACATCAAGGGCATCCAAGATGTAGGCGTCTTTGTTTCCACAGTATTTTCAATTTTGACATTTTTCGGTCAAACCGTTGTTGTCTATCAGTCATATAATACAGGTTTAGGGGGTCCACCCTCTGTTCAACTCAAGGAAAGTTTTACCTTTCACTAAACATAATAATATATCAAAATCGTCTTCCATTGCGATTTCCTGTATATCTAAATATGTTTAGATCTTCACAGTGAAAGGTAAAACTTCCGATAGACACTGATAGACAACAACGATTTGACCAAAAAATATCAAAATTAAAAAAAAATACTGTGGAAACAAAGACACTACATCTTGGATGGCCTTGAGGTAAGCTAAAACATATCAAAAATTAATTTCAAAGTGAACTAAACCTTTAATGTTGGATTTCCCACATCTTGAATCGTTCAGGTTTACAAATGGAGATAATATCAGAAGAATGAACAAATAATGTTTTTGGTCATCAAATTAAAAATGACATTTGAAGTGCTGGATAAATGCGGTGTGTGGGTCCAATTACAGACAATGTTTCTTATTACAACGCTCTCATTGGCTTCAAGTTTTTGTTGCAATTAATAAAACTGGTTTATTGGCAACTTAGGTATGCGTGCATTAAAATATAAATACAACATTAAAAAGTCAACCATTAATGGTTTTGTAACAATGTATAAGGTACAGAATTACAGCTAACAGTTCACCGGAAATGCCCAAGATTGTTGGGCAAGAGAAAATTATTATTTTAATTTAACTCCTCAAAGAAAAAAAAAAAACATTGCTTCACAAATTGTTTCATGGCAACACACTAGTTTTCTGAACTATTATTTTGACCTTCCCCAAAGGTTCCCCTTGTCAAACAATCAAACTTAACTACTAATTTCAGCAAATCATCCAGCTTTTGTTAAATCTGAATGTCAGTTTGTTTACTTGTAAGTGTATTATTTGTAACCAGTGGATCTGAACATGAACTTTGCTCATTATACAACTTTGGGCAACGTTTTTTCGTATGAGTCTGTAGATGAGATAGCTGAGTGAAACTCTTTCCACAGTGTGAACACTTGTACGGTTTCTCTCCAGTATGAACTCTCTGGTGTGTTTTTAAGTTGCTGGATGTAATAAAACTCTTTCCACAGTCAAAGCACATATAAGGTCTCAAACCAGTATGAATACTCTGGTGCACTTGTAAAGTTTGCAGTAGTAAAAAACTCTTTCCACAAAGAGAACAGAAGTGAGGCTTCACACCGGTATGAACGTTAAGGTGTGCTCTCAAGTGTGATTTCAAAACAAATGTTTTATCACACTGATCACAGCTGAATGATCTCACTCCAGAGTGAGAGAGTAGATGATAGTTGAGATTTCTTTTGGATGTGAAACTCTTTCCACACTGAGAGCATGTGAATGGTTTTTCTCCAGTGTGAACTTTCATGTGCACACTTAGGTGTCCTTGATGTCTGTAACTCTTTCCACAGTGAGAGCATGTGAACGGTTTTTCTCCAGTGTGAATTCTCAAGTGATCATTTAGGTGTTCTTTCCGAATGAAACTCTTTCCACACTGAGTGCATGTATACGGCTTCTCTCCAGTGTGAATTCTCAAGTGTCTTTTATGGTCTGATTTCTGTCTGAAACTCTTTCCACACTCAGAGCAGATGAAAGACCCTTTGACTCCAGATTTTCCAGCTTGTTTCTGTGTGAAATTCTCTTCAGTCTTTGAAACAACTGCATTTCTATCTTCATTTGTGAAATTATGGTCTTTGTCTTCATTCACTTCCATCAGGTCTAAATTAAGAATGAGAAATTATGTTAATTCTTACATACAATTTAGCACAAAGTTTACAACTGAGTTACTAGTATCTAATTTTAGATGTATTGATGTATTCCTCATCAGTCATTAAAGGGAATGAAGGAAAACACCAACCTATTTGTTCCTCTGTATCTTCATCTTTTATTCTGCAGGGTTCTTCCTTAATCTCCATCTTTACAATAGTATGTCCGTAGTTTCTCCTGGAGCAATTCCTCCTGCTTGCTTCTTCTCCTGTGGGAAGATGGGAATATTCCCCAGCATTTAAACTCTCATGAACGGCTGTGGGAGCTTCACTGACTGAAGGAGTGAATTGTGGTCGTTGTTGCACATTTAGCAGATGATCATCACACTGACAATCACTCGAGATTATTATTAAGCTGTAAGTGAATTAAAGGTTGATTTCTGTAATCAGACATCAATTCAATGAAGGGATGTGTACAAAATAAAGACAAAGGAATAGTTTGTCATTTAGATGAGATTTACCTAAAACTAGTTATTTCTTTCAGAGTGTAGCATAATTTACAGCTGTTTTTTTTAGCCTATGCAGTTCAAACCATGCCCTTTTTGAATATCATAAAACCTCCAAAACTGCACAAAATGTGGAGTGAAAATTTTAACAAATATTAAAATAATAATAAAAAATATTTCGGTACAAAATTATATTTTATTGTCTGGGGTCTTTGGAGACACCAAAACCACGTGGTTAACCCCTAAACGAAGACAGCAGAAGGGTTAAAGAGCCAATTTCCAATCAGTTAAAGGGTCACTCCACCCATTTGCATTAAGCTTTCCCTTTTGCGCTAACAGACCTATCAAAGACCAGTGCTGGCAGAACCTTTTTGAAAATATGGACAAAGGTACTGAATATGCAGACAAACATTATGGAGGATTGGGATTACACATAGTGTCAGCCATCTTTTTTGGAAGCTAAGCTAGCAGGCTCTTGTTCTGTGGAGAAAGCCGAGTAGTAACTTTAGGGGTTACGTCCTCTTTTTCCCGGACATGTCCAACCGTGAACGCTGAAAAAGTGATCGGTTGATGTGCGTTTTAACACTGCTAAGAAAATTCCCGCTCCTCTGTGAGAGATATACGGCCGATGGGTCTCACAGGTGTCGCTCGTCGCTAATCCTTTAGGTGAGTGTGTGTGTGTGTGTGTGTGTGTATATATATATATATATATATACTTGATCTACCGTAACTAGTAACTAGCTACTTGAGTAGTTTTTTTTTTTTTACTGGAAACTTTTTTTCAACTTTTATTCAAGTAACCTTTAAAATTATTACTTTTACTTTGAGTAAATATTTATACAAGTACTTTTACTTGAGTAGTTTTTGGATACTCTACCCACCTCTGCACACACACACAAACAAGAAATATAGAAAGAAAGAAATGCCAGAGAACTGTCCTTGATTTATTTTTTAATCATATTTTTATTAAAACTAAAATCATAAAGTATGAAATATTTTTACTTTGAGCAATGATGGAGCTAGACTTTTCTTAGGAGCATATAAAACAAAACAGCTCCTTCGACAAAATTAAATGAAATATTGTAGTAATTATAAACAAAGGTTTATTTTAGCTCAGATTAACATTTGAGGGCAGCAATTGTTTTTATAATGTCAAAATAAAACCTACGTAAAATTACTTGAAAGCATTATAGCCTACTATTCCTAACAAACTTCCATGGTTACAGTTAGTGTTACTACAGTAAATACATGGTGAATGTTGCTGATCTGTGGACACTGAATAGTTCATTCATGGCACAATGTTTCTTCCTGGTTTCCACATCAGCGCTTTTTTTCCCATTAATAACAGAGAAATGTGAATTATCCAGAAAGAACTTCTCCGACTTTGCTTTTCAACCTGTAAGAATTTGCTCAGGAAAAACAAAAACAAAAAAAACAATAAGGTCTCACACGTATGAGGCTTCACAGCATCATGAATTTTAAGGTGTCTTCTTAAGATTGATTCTAAAACAAATGTTTTATCACACTGATCACAGCTGAATGATCTCACTACAGAGTGGTGGCACAGATGATCTTTGAGAATGCTTTTTTATAAAAAAAAACAAACCTCACATATTTCAGCCTTTAAATCATTTTTCACAAAAAAGGTGTTATAAAAAGATAAACCTCCCAAATTTCCGCCTTTAAATCATTTTTATAAAAAGAAAAGTAAAAAAATAAATAATTAAAAATTAAGAGAAAATAAATTAAGATAAAATTAAATTAGCTTATCTTTTATTATTAATAGTAAAATTCGGTCCGATTTTTCCGTGGCGTCTGTCATTGCTAAGCATCCATGCACTGCACTCTCCACAACGACAAAGAAGTTTTAGTAGCTAATAGATTTTCACCACCGAAAAACGCTTTCTGTAGCTCTGCTACAAGATTTATTTACGGAAAAGAGAAAAACACCGGTTGTGATTGGGTGCACCCCCATCCTTCATGTTTACTGAGCTTTCAATGGTGGTTGGTTCTTGTCACATGAAATGCGGTGCGCTTGCGGCATTCTGAAAAGTTTCATCTCGCTGCGCCTGGAAAAAATCTCTTCAATGATGAGAGCGCTTGCCGCACGCCTACATTTGAAATAGCGAACTTGAGAGCGCAAAAGACACAATTTGTGAACGGCCCTACGGCGTTTATTTAGTCTCAAAACTCGCGCACAGGATACGAGGGCAAAAAACAGTGTACACACACAGAATGCCATCCACTCGTGCGCGCGTTTCTGCACAGTGAGTGCCGCACGATGCCATCCTCGAGCGGACCCTTGACGAGCTACCTCCAATCAGGCCACGAGCTAGTGGAAGAAACACTAGTGGTTCACGCTTGCACACATACTGCTGTTTTGGCTTACAGTTTTCTGATTTGCTTATTTCCTATTTTGGTGGAGGCAATCCAGAATTACTGGAGGTGATGTTTAAAGGTGCAATGTGTAAAAATGTTCTATTTATAGAAAATTTTGAGTATCTATTAACAGAAATGCAATATGACATCCATAACTATGTTTTCAGTGGTGTCTAAAGAACTTACTTATTCTAAGGTAATAAAAACATTTCGTTTTATTGAGACATTTATATCTACATCACTGTTTCCCCTACAATGTATTTTGCAGCGGCGCAGCACGGCCACTGGATTTTCAGCGCTACTACAAAATCTTCACATGATCAGTAATATCACTTCATTCACTTACACACCTAAAAACACTGAGACTTGCTATTGCGATGCCTTTGAATCCACTTGTTGACAAGAAAGGAGGAAAGAGCCACATATGGAAATATTTTTGATTAGGCTAATGTCACGTCGCCATAAGGGGCCATTCACATAGTGCGTTTTTCTGCGCATACAAATTCATTATTTCAAATGTAAGCGCACGGGAAGCATGCTCGTTTTTCCAGGCCGCCTCTGTTTATGGTAGCATAGCAACGACAGATGTCACGGGAGAGCAAGCGCTTTTGGAAAGGAGAAAGCGGCAAGTATTTACGAGGAAATATTTAGCAAATAGTTAATTGATTTCTAGCCCTTGCATTAGCTTTACAACTAGATGTATTTATGGATATGTGACATAAAAAGCCGCACTGTAACGCTATGATCAGCTGTTCGGCCAAGCTCGTGTTGTTACGGAAAGGCCGAAGCTGATCGGTTATTTTTTGTCACACATGGCCTGTTGAGATGAGATGTTACGATGTTTTCATCTCGCCATGCGACGCGTGCCTAAAATTGAAATAACAAATTTGTGCACAAAAAACCCGATATGTGAGCGTAAATATGTAAAGAGAACGAATCGGTTACCTAACGTAACCTCGGTTCTCTCTAGATGAGGGAACGAGTATTGCGTAAGCTAGCTTACGCTACGGGAAAGATTCATCTTTGCTGAGAAGTTGAAGCCAAAAAATTATTCCATAATTTGTAATCATTGTCAACGCAGTCTCTTCTGAGGCAGACCATGAGCGGGCTAGCTAGCGGCTCATTGGTTCGCTCAGAGAGAATGCACGAACCTATGGGAGAGCGGCGCTGAGTCCGCGGCCAATGAGCGGACGGCGCTCGCTTACTGCGTCACAGCCCGCCAAAAGGGGCGTGGCTACAGTGTATAAAGGTCGCTCTCCCAGCTCGTTCGTTGATTCTGTAGCATGAAGCGAAACGCTGGTGGCGCAAGCACGGCCGGGAACGCAATACTCGTTCCCTCATCTAGAGAGAACCGAGGTTACGTTAGGTAACCGATTCGTTCTCTTACGAGAGGTTCTCTCGTATTGCGTAAGCTAGCTTACGCTACGGGAACACCTGGTCAACGCCGTGCGCGCTAAGTAACCACTAAGCATCCCAGGGGAACACCGGGGGAATCTATAAGTGGATGAAGATAATACGGCGGCCAGATAGCGGCCGTTACTATCTAGTGCAAAAACGCCCAAGGCGGCCGGCGAAGGCGGGCCGTGATGTGAAGGCTAATGCATAAGCACATAGGGGAACACAAGGGGTGAAACGGTTGTGATGGAACTCCCGATAGTGCGGCTTCTATAGGAGGGCTGTGAGTACTAGACCGCCAGAATTTTAGCCTGTAAGGCTGGAACTTCCAAGTTGTAAAATCTGACAAAGGTGGAGGGGGAAGCCCATCCCGCAGCCACACAAATGTCGTGGATGGAAATCCCGCAGGACCATGCCCACGATGAGGCCATGCCTCTGGTGGAATGAGCCCTGATGCCCAGAGGGCAAGGCAGGTCTTTAGCGGCATAAGCAGAGGCAATCGCGTCTACTATCCACCTGGATAGGGTCTGTTTCGAGGCGGCTAGTCCCTTGGTGCGGCCACCGAACGACACAAACAGCTGCTCCGAGCGTCTGAACGCGGCAACGCGTGTAGTGTACACTCTGATAGCCCGAACCGGGCAGAGGCGGTGAGCGTCACGTTCGCTATCGGATGCCGGCAGCGCCGATAGAGAGATCACTTGCGCCCTGAAAGGGGTACCAATCGCTTTTGGAACATAACCGTGTCTAGGCTTTAGAATGACTATGGAGTCACTCGGTCCAAACTCTAGGCACGCGGCGCTCGAAGACAGCGCGTGAATGTCCCCCACACGTTTTACTGAGGCGAGAGCCGTCAGAAGAACGGTTTTTAACGAGAGGTATTTTAGCTCCACGGACTCAAGTGGTTCAAACGGTGGGGCTTTCAGAGCTTCTAGAACTATAGAAAGATCCCAGACCGGCACCGTAGGGGGGCGAGGGGGGTTCATCCTTCTGGCTCCCCTGAGGAAGCGGATGATAAGCTCGTCTTTGCCCAGAGACTGGGCGCGCCGGGGTTCAGCGAACGCCGCGACGGCTGCCACGTAAACCTTAAGAGTGGATGGGGACCTGCCCTTATCCAGCATCTCCTGAAGGAACAC